AACCATAAGTTGAATAATTTTTAACATATCATGTATTATACTCCTGTTTTTCGTTCAAAAGTTGATTACTTTTAAGAATTTCTCTAATCTTATTGCTTTTCTAAAGTAAGCAAATTTGTTTCTTTTTTAGTTAAAAAGTTTTTGAAAGAACAATTAAAAATATATCGTTCAACATTAATTCTTAAAAGCAAAGACAATTATTTAAGAAAAAACAAAAAAATAAAGTTTTACTACGTAATAGTAATCAACTGATTCTTAAGTTTTTATTGATTAGAGAAGCATCTATTTCATTATTTACTACTTTTACAAATTAGAATTCGGAGACGATAAAGTCTCCTCCAACGTGATAGAATCATCTTCTTAAGTTCATAACTTTGTGTTCTAAGTCTACAAATATTTATTTTATACTTGTGAGTGCATAATCAATAAAATCAGTTAAAATTCGTATTAGATTAATATTAAAAATACTTTATATATGAAAAAATATTAACAAAGAAAGAAAAATTGTTGTTACTTTTACTACTATCATATTCAAGTATATGATTGTTTTTTTTAAATAAATTACAAAATATTACACATTGTATAAATAATTTAATAAATTCTCATTTTTACTAATATCCGAGATAAAAGTCTTCTATTGAGACACTGTTAATTTTTTGTGAAATAAGATGACGAAATAAGATATTTTAATATATTTGATATACATAGAAGTTATAACTGCTCATTCTAAATATAGTAGCGAGTAATGGAGATAGTGATTGCTTGTATAATGATAGAGAGACAGGTTGTATTTCATTTTGAGTTATGAACTTATCATATAGTTGAACGAGATAAGTTTCAAAGGTTTAAACTATTATAATGTTCTCTTTAAACTTGTGCGTAAGATTAATGAGGGAGTAGGCTATCAAGTGATATTTATGTATTATAGTACTAGTAGCTCTTAAATAATCTTTTTCATAATTAACAAATTGTTACTCGAGTCATTTTTACGAGACAACTGAGTTTCGAGATTCTTGATCTTGTAAGATCTTATTTTATTGTTGTATTAACAAATGAACTCACATGTATTTGATGAAATTTGATATGAATTCATCGATTGATGTTGCGATAGTCAAACTACACATATCGGGTCATCACCTTTTCAATACTCATCTTGGGGTTGGAAGTATAGAGCCATCAACACACTCCATAAGATCATAGCTTGTAAGCAAGGCTCCTATTTACGCTCACCAACAAGGAAGACTATTAGATGCCAATTTCATCGGAAGTTGAGCATAAGTATTTATGAAAACTAAAGATTGTTAACACGGAAAGAAAAATGAAAGATAAAGTCACTCGTGATCTTACACTTCTGAGAGTTTTTTTATTACACGAAAGTATAATAGTTTATCGTCTATTTTGACTAATTAGGTTATGAAAAATTGCTCTTTACTTCTTATATTATTTTGACATAGAAATCTTGTAATCCACAAAGTTAAATCTATATATTTTCATTTTAGTAATTTATTTGTGATAAATAAATTAAAAATTAAAAATAAGGTTATCGAATTAGATTAAATAATATTCGATCTAATGTTTTGTCCAAAATTTATTTAGACTTAAATTTATTGTCTGTTTGGATCCGAATTTGATCCAGACCGATTAATTTTTGTAATATTAAAAATTAATTAATATGTATATATAATATAAATTTCTTTATATTAATTATATAAATAAAATATTATATCGGTCTAATTTTCGGGTTAGAATATTATTCTCATTTAGTTTTAGTCCAGTTCGGTTTGGTCCGATTTGGCAAATCGATGTTAATTCATCTATTTAAATTACCTTTTTACTTTGTTTTTTCTTTTACAAAATATAATTAGATTTTTCTGTTTTTTTTTTCTTGCAATATTCTCTTTTTTTTTTGCTCAGTTCCTTTTGAAGTTATCAGTTCGGTATCTTTTATAGTCAAGTAAATTTTCTTCTCTTATAAACCTTCTTTCACATCTTAATTTTTATGCATTTATTTAGTTAGTTAATTCATCGATTTTAGAATAAAATTGCGTGAGAAATTTCGTATCGAAACGAGATCTATTCTCACCTCGAATTACTTAATTAGGTTAGATTTTCAATTCCTCCGTAACCGTAGATATCAAAAATCGAATTACAAAAAGAAAAAGATTAAAATAAAGTCAAAAATAAATCCCTATACAATAGTATATATTGAACTTAATCTCAAGATATAATAAAATAAGAGCTAGAATAACAAGATGTAGGCCATATAGTCCCATGGTAATTATGTACCTGCACTTTTTTTTATGAGAGTTCAATCCCTGTGCCTTTTTCTTTTATTGGATTCAATGAAAAACCAAAAGAAAATTCACCTTATGGAGTTGGAAAGGCAGAGTACAAGGCCTCATCTACTAGTTCATTCTCAGAAATCCACAATCTTCTGTCTCTCCTGAAATTAATCATCAGCTCCTCACTTGCTGAACAGGAGAGTAAAGGTTATGTTAATAAGATCAAAAGCCAGTATCCAGCCTGAGCCCATTGCTGCCTGCAAGAAACTTCTAAGGAAGATATCTGTAGCCAACCTATTCAGGATATGCAGAATGGAGAACAACTTCATCTCTTACTTTCAAAATCATTCCTCCAGCTAAATTTCATTGGTAAATGCAGTAGCAATGCACCACATCCTTACGGGTCTACAAATTTTTTCAATGCATGAATATATAACTAATAATTGAGATGGTACCAATGAGTTGGTGAATTCTTCCCAAAATTTTTAATACCAACATCATCTAATCAGCAAGAAGAATCATCACCTGTTTCAGGAATGCTAATTTGTGTTTTTCTCGCCTTAGAATCATCAAGATAATTTTGATATAGATAAGAAGCAAAACCCCAAATAGCCATAAGCATGGCTACTATCTTCACGCCATTCATCTTGTCATGGAAAACTATCAAGGCTGCAATAGGAGTAACAGCCAAAGAGAGAGTACTGATTACATTAGAAAAGAGAGAAGAAACCACAAAGATCAATCCCACAACACCAACTGAACAAACTTGCCATGTGACCGCTGTCCCAACTAAAGTCATTACGTAAGATAATCTTCCCTTTCCAAAGGTCTCCATCTCCCCATGCAAACTTTTCCATTCCCCACTCGCAAAGAGACCAATGATGGAAACGATGGTAGCAACAAGTGACGTATAAATTTGCATTTCTAAAACCACAGAAAAGGTTTCCTTTTTCAGGACCTTTTGGAACGTGAGCTGCATAAGGGAAAGTAGCAGTGCATACAGTGCTGAAGCTCCAAGAGTACAAAGAAACCCGATTGTGTATTTCCACTTGGATATTCCTGATGGACCTTCTGAGCCATCATTAACGGCAATTAGAGAAGCAGATAGTGAAAGGATGATGACAGAGTTAAAATCAAAGCAGTGAACTTCTGAGAATTTATGAATAGAGATACTGAATTGAAAGCTAATTGAGTGGCACAAATGAGAGAGTATGTAGACGCGGAGAGATACAAGAGCCCAATTGAGTACAACATGTTATCAGCAGCTATAAATACTCCAAGAAAGAAGTAGATCAAAGCAATAATTCTAATAGAAGATGAGGCAGAAGTTGAAGGTCCCTCAGAGGAAGGAAGAAGAAAGAGTGGGATATAAAGGATAGGGAAGGCAGCACTCTGAACAAGGGTGGCCATCCATTTGCTGTTTCCACCCTGGTCATAAT